CACTTGTTTCCCCTCGCTGGCTATGTCTACCACTTGCCCTGCAACTAGCCCTTGTGATCCAACCGCAGAGCCGAGTTCAGAAATGGCTTGAACCACTCTCTGGGGTGACACATTTCTTGGAGTCTTGGCTGCTACGTGTTCAAAAGAAAGGGACAACAGTGCGTCACCCGCAAGAATAGCAGTTTCTTCCCCAAAAACCTTGTGATTAGTGGGCTTTCCACGGCGCAGATCATCGTTGTCCATGCACGGGAGGTCATCATGAATGAGTGTCATTGTGTTGATCATTTCAACAGCACAAGCCATGGGCAAAACCATGGATTCTTCTCCTCCTACTATTTCACAAGAAGCAAGGCATAATACAGGCCGGACACGTTTTCCTCCTGCAAAAAGGGAGTACCTCATGGCCTCATGGATTTTAATTGGAGTTAGCAAAGGAACTGACTCGTCTAGAGCTTTGTTCACCATTTTTGCCTTCAATTTCATGTACTCATCAAAATTGAACTCAGGAAATACTAAGTTTAGGGGTTTGGAGGTCACTAGTTCTTCTTGGGCTTGTGATGACTCAGAAATAGAACTCTTTGCCACATGTTTAGGCTGAGTTTTCATGCAGAAGATATTAAGGTGGTGGCTGAAATAAGTTTTTGGTGAAGTTTTTGGTGGCAGAGAGAAGCCATTGTTAAGGTGTTTGTGAAGTACTAAATTTTCATTGCTAGAAATTGCTGTCAAGAATGCCATTGATCAATGTTAAGAAGAGACAATAGGTGACTGGGTAGGTTGTATAGAGACTAAAGCTATATTTATACAAGGCATCAATCCATTTACTATGAGATGCTCTTTTTGTTCTCATTTGATTATTGTTTAAGCTTCAAAATGTGGTTTTGGAACCTAGTGATACCAATTTTGGGAGTGGCTCATTTCTGTCTTTGTCTCTGTCTAGTAGTAAAGCTTGTCTTGTATATTTAAGAGTCAGGATCCAAAAGAATTGTAGCCGACTTCATATTTATCGAAAACAAGATTCAGTCCCCCCCCCCCCCCCCCCCCCCCCCCCCTTTTTTTGGGGGTTTTTTTTTTTTTTTTTTTTAAGTGGGGGTGTGGGGGTCGCTGAGGTACCCTGCTCTTTAATTCAGATCAACTTATTTGGCCCCTGTTTTTTGAAACACAGTATTGTTCATTAGCCAATATTAAACAAATTGTCCTGCAACCCATTGACTTATTGATGAAAGTGGACAATTAATCAATAATTTATTACTCAAAATAGTTGTAAGACTGCTCCCAATTTTAAAATGCTGTTACCTAATTGAAAACAAAAGCAAACAAGATGGAAATTAAGAAACGTGTATACTTTGAAGAGAAGGTATACGTTGATTCCAAACCCAATCCAATCAGTAGATTTTTTTCAGACAAACAAAAATTTGTTGACTTGAAGAAAATTTTAAACGCGGTCTACGTTAATCTCTCCCTCTCCCTGTATGTGGGACTCGAACCTATCCAAACTTTTTTGGTTAATCTTTTAGATGTTTGTCATAGAATTTGATGTTAAATGATGAGGTGGTACTTGACTCAATGTATAAAGGCGCGCCAAAGAATGCAAGAAACATATACGAGGCATTTTTTTCTCAAAAACAATGTTTGAAGCTCCATCTTATAAAATACAAAATTGGTTAATTGCTCAAGCACATCAACCAACACAAAAGAATGTCACAAATGTGTTTACATGCTTCGTGTCGATATCTATTTGAATGATCAACAAATGACTCGTTCTTCAGAATTTGCAACCTCGACAGTATCTCATGCATTCTTTGAACCATTTGCATGCCTAATGCGCTTCAATGGATGGAAAATCCCGTAATGGCTCTATTCCATGCAAGGTCTAAGCAGCAATCGAAACCTTTGGACATCTTAGAGGAGAATCAAATGCCTCTCTTATGTTTGAGGCTTACTTTAAATGCTCCTAATTGACTGTCAAAGGCCTGCGCAAATACACATGAAGGTATCAAAATGAATAAACTACAATCTTTATTCTTTTAAAAACATGGCTAGATTTTAATATTTCACACATAGGACGATGACATATATGCATCGTTACAAAAATTTTATTTCATGTTTTACTATGTAATTTTTAAATTACTACAAATACTGTTTCATATATGAAGTATATTTAAAAATACTAATTTCTAATAATAAAAACTGAATGACAATTTGTCATTGAAATATTTTGAATATTGCACACTTCACTGAGAATGGGTAAGGAATATCAATGGCTTCCGTTGCTTGAGCAGACTGTATTTCCCTCCCTCAATTGGAACCCAGAAACTAGCGGAATCTGCATCAAAAGTTTTCAAATTCGAAGCTCTATCCTGGGGCCAAACTATTATTCTTTCCTTTCTACCTCAACCAATCACAGCACATACTTTCCAAAAAATACACAGGCAGTGCCTGGAGTGGCTGCCCATAATGTTTCATTGGAAATTTGATAGCGAACTACTTTGAGCAAGAGTACCCGAAGCTTGGACGGACAGAGTAGTTTTCTGAAGCTGATGTATGCAAAATAATGACTAAATTTTCTGGGAAAAGCTCTTACTTTTTTTCTACATGGCAGAATCATATCTATAAAATAAATAAATAAATAAAAATCTCATCAGCCATTACTTGATACCGAACAAAAATTTCATTAAAATCTAAATTCACATAAACACAGTCGTCATTTCTAACAATCCAGATTTTGTAACGTTTATAGATAATAATAGGACAAGTTTTTCTTGGCTCTGTGACATCCATTACAATCTCTCTACTAACAATCTCGTATATATCTAGAAAACAGTGAAAATCAGGCGGTCTTTACAAGCTTTGTTGACCACTTATGAACCAAGCAACCAGTATCTCTAATTTTCACATCCATGAATCTCCTTTTGCCTTTAGCAGCTTCGGTTTCCTCAAAACTTGCCATCGACGCAGTACTCCTTAGAGGTGGTTGAGGATCGCCTGTCCCTATTGATGCCTCCACAACTTGATTCACCATTTCTAAAACCTCGCTCATTTCTGGTCGTGTTTCTGGGAGTCTGGCCAAACAATGATTGGCTACAAGTGAGAGTTTGTTAAACACATGCTTCCCTTAATGCTTCAAATCCAATATCAACTTAAACTTCTTAGTATCAGATAAAGGCTATAATAGAAAACAAAGGAATTTCAGAGAGAATACGTTGTTACATACTCCTTCAAGTAGGGTTTTTATGCTTGCAATAAATCCCCAATCAACGCAAGGTGAAATCAGACTTTGATTTGTGCGATAATAGAGTTTACATATTGCGTGAAATCTGTATGATGATCTCCCTTCATGCTTCAAATCCAATATCAACTTAAACTTCTTAGTATCAGATAAAGGCTATAATAGAAAACAAAGGAATTTCAGAGAGAATATGTTGTTACATACTCCTTCAAGTAGGGTTTTTATGCTTGCAATAAATCCCCAATCAACGCAAGGTGAAATCAGACTTTGATTTGTGCGATAATAGAGTTTACATATTGCGTGAAATCTGTATGATGATCAATTGTTGAAAGATTTTTTTGGGATTTTTTGGAGGAAGATGATTCTTGTTTGGGAAGAAGATGAATGTTGTTAGGGATTTCTAGATAAAACAACTTAAGGGGGTGTTTGTAAGTTACCTAAATGGGTAATTGGTACAAAACGTCCTTACATTTCAAACTTATTGTGGAAAAGGATAATAAGCACAAAACATCCCTACCTTTTATGATTTTTGTGGAAAATGTGCCTACCTTTCGTTTTTTGGAGCATTTCATCACATCTTTACATTTTCTAGTGCAAAACATCCTTTTCATTATTTCTCAATAAAAAGCTATAAAATGACTAATATGCCCTTCTATTTAAATTTAAAAAAAAAAACCAAATATAAAGAACTAATTGCAATCATTGTCCCTATTTTTAAAAAAAGTTCAAAAGAGTCCCAAATAAAAAAGTCATAAAAAAGTCCCTAAGCTTTAATCACTAAGTCATGCCACCACTCATCACATGAACATGCGAAATCTCCATTTCATTCATTTTCTTCTGATAATATTGTAAGCAGCTCATAATAAAAACAAGAGTGAACCGCCAATCCTGAGCAGATATGTAAAATCTATACAAATTTTTTGCACGTTTCATCCATTCGGAGTTGCTTCAAAGCTTGTTTAGACTTTCATTCGACCAAACTATATATCGACATGTATATATACTTGGCAGAGAAAATCCCATGTAGTGAAAAGCTCACCTTTTACCACACAAATCCAGGAATCTCAGTTCTAACCCAAGATAAAACGGTTTTGGGACGTACACTAGTACACTGATTTTTTTCCCAGCTGCTTCCCAATACTCCCTTAAGTTGAGAAATATCGTGACTTACAGCATATAGGGAGGAAGAGAGAGAGGGAGAGGGAGAGGGAGAGACAGAGGGGGGAAGAGTGAGAGACGAAAAGGAAATGGAAGAAGAGGAGAATAATTTACCTAGGAGGAAAATTTTCCATATACATGTAATTGTGATCAGTATCATCTGCTGCCTTAAATAGATTTTAAGATTAAATTCAAAGAGACATCTAGCATCACAAGCTTAACAAACTGCGGAAGCCTATCTAATCTTGTCCAAACAAAATCCTAAACTAAGACAAAATAAAATTGGAAAATTTTAAATTATTTTTGATGTTAGAAAGGAAATTTATAGGTTTCCATCACATCAACCAAGTTAACACACTAAAAGAGTACAACTGATATAAGAATAATTAATTTTTATATAGATTTCCTCCACTACAGAGCTCTAAACATCTTAAGAGCCTCAACTGGATAAAAATTCGGCACCTCAGTACGACAGACAACATATTATACAGAAGTATCAAATATGAACTTAATCCAGACTGCTAGAAGTTGTGAAATACTTGCAGAAGCATAGCATGTCTTAATTTACCCATGGTTGAACAAGAACATAAATAATACCAAAAATGAGGGGGGGGGGAAAAAATACTGATCATGTACTTACCAAATGAAGTAGGCCAAGACCAGGACCAAATCAAATGTTATAAAATTTTCAGGGTCACAACTTCGAGCTTTCAATTCATGGTGTCATTACACTGATTTTGACTTTAAATCAAAATATATTCAGCACCATCTCATTGATTTTGACTTTACAGGCTACCATTCTCAAAAATATAAGATCGGTAATTACCACCTTCATTCCTCCAGATATCATCCACTCACTGCAAATCACAGCAAACAATTACTCTCTCATAAATATCAAGCAATTAATGATTGGGCTTTCATATCAAAAGATACTTTTCAGAACAGATAAAACAGGGGAGATCGATATTTTTTCATGAAGATTTCAATTTAAATCAGTTCAATTCAGATCTCATAGCAACGACCCTAGTGTTAATTCTGCATTAGTAAAGTTCAGAGAAATACTTTATTTTCACGGATCAATTGTAAAATGTTCGTGGATACTGCATGTTTGGGAAGTGATTATAATTTAATCACTTTTGGTCAAACATTATTTTTATCCCAAGGGCCCACATCTTATAATTACTTATCAGACATGCGCTAGAACTAGTAAATTGTCAACGGTGTGGGTTATATCAAACTGTAATAAATGAGAAACATTAAATATGATGGTGGCATTTAATTTACTGGCTTCGAAGATAAGAAAGCAATTGCAATCACCCATCAGGCTTTGCAATTTCATCTATAGTATATAAATAAATCATCAATGTAAGGAAGATAAATTGTAATAATCCAAACATGGATTGCATGACAGATTACACACATATGGTCAAACCAGTGAAATTGCATTATAAGATTTTGTACAAAGTTTTCCTCCACAACAGAGCCATAAATTGGACCTTGGTTGAATAAATACCAAACATGAAAAATGCTGTTTTGCAGTTATAATAAAGTTAAAATACGAAGATAAGAAAGCAATTGCAATCACCCATCAGGCTTTGCAATTTCATCTATAGTATATAAATAAATCATCAATGTAAGGAAGATAAATTGTAATAATCCAAACATGGATTGCATGACAGATTACACACATATGGTCAAACCAGTGAAATTGCATTATAAGATTTTGTACAAAGTTTTCCTCCACAACAGAGCCATAAATTGGACCTTGGTTGAATAAATACCAAACATGAAAAATGCTGTTTTGCAGTTATAATAAAGTTAAAAATAGACAGTTACTTTATTGAATAAACATAAGAAACCCAAGAGAAATGATAATTGTTTGCAAAAGGTACATACCAATAGCAGTGGGCCATAGTCCAGGACCCAATCAAATACTTCAAAATTCTGAGGGTCACGATTTTGAGCTATTAATTCAATGTGTCACCACACTGATTACGAGGGTCACGTCTCTGAGTTATTAATTCATGGTATCATCACGCTAATTACAACTTCCAACCAAATTATATCAATCCCATCACATGGATTGGTACCAACTTGAATCCAAATATTTCCATGAAATGCTGATGAGCCTTTGTCACCCTCAGCAAATGACTGCCAATAAATCAAAAGACACTTGTCAGAACATATTAAACAGGAGACATTGATCTTTTTCTTTTCACAGTGTTAGATATGAAAAAAAAAAATATATCATTTTCAAATCTCAGTATGTCATTATTGCTATAATTTCTGCATTAATACAATTTTACATCTAACGGTTTATTTTCACTAGTAGATCAAGTTAATAAGGTTTCTAATCATTTAATTATTTCACACCATAAGAACTAATTGAAAATTTTCAATGGTGTGAAAAATATGTACTAAATGAGATACATTAAATATAATGGTGGCATTTAATTTACTGGCTTCATTTAGCATTTGCAATCACCCATCTGGCTTTACAACTGGCTTTAAAAATTTATCTATACTATATGACTAAAACTAAAGTGTAAGGAAGATAAATTGTAATAATCCACATGTGGAAATCCCGACAAATTTTCCATATATGGTCGAAACAAGAAATTGCATATAAATTTACCTCCTAACAACTTTATAAAACAATATAAAATGTTATGATAAAATGATCGATAAGTATAAATTTGCCGCTAAATTGAGACTTGACATCAAAATTCGGATTTATTTACTTGTAGAAGTCAGTTTTGACAAAATGTATAATCAATTTAATCAAAGTACCATGACATTACCAACTTTATTTGAGTTTTAGACAAATAAAGAAATTTTGGCATAGCCAACCTAATACAACTGTAACACCTTTCAACAATGCTTTACAATTATATAACTTTTCCCTTCTGATCAAGATAAATGATTAGCTGTAGCTTAGTTGTCACCATTGACATTTCACTTGTCGAGTTACATTAGCCAAAACGAACCAACTTATCTTTTCTTCATTTATATAATTTATCAAATGGTAAATATATGAAATTTTCAGCGCCAAGTTACCAAAAACTTAAGCTGCTAAGCAACTTTGGGTCTAAAAATTAAGCGACTGAAATGTTGAAGTCAGCGGCAATAAGAGAACTTTGTGTGTCAAAATATACGCTCTATCTATGTTTAGTTCATAACGGAAAGAAAAAATTGTTGGCAGCATTAAGTTTATGGAGCATTAAATTTATGGTGCTGTTCTCTATCCTCCTTTATAGGAGATATTAATGTAAATCTGTAAAAATGTCACAAACTACATTTCAATCCGTACATCTTAGCATAAAACTTAATTCCCTGGCTTATCATCTAAAACGATGAATTTCGTAGATTCAAGTTACCTATGATGTTTGGACTTGGGTACGGTTATGCATCTTAAGTGTCGGATCTTTTATTTTCTAAAATATAGGACATTGAGATATTTCGGCTAAAAAAATTCCAAATTTCGAAAACGAATACGTGAGTACATCTTTCAAGTTTCAATTTTTTTACTAACCCAAGATGTCAATTTGAATAGATCAAAATCAATTGTTCACAAAGAAGGAAATGAGTATTGAATAAAAGGTTAAGACGAACAAAATAGAATTTTGAGGCTTAATTTTCAATTATAGGAAGTTAATTACTAAGCATTATATAAAATAGAAAATAATGGACTAGATTGTAATTTAGACTTAATAGAGCAGTAAGTAACACTATATGAAGCCTATTTTTATTTTATGCAAACAAGCCCTAAGCCACCAATACAGAAAGGGAAAGGAGGAAAAAAGAAGAAAAGGGAAAGAAAAAAGAAAGATGGGGAAAAACCTAGTGCCGTCACCTTTCTCCACCCTATAAGAGATTACGTAAGGTTTATAGCCGGGGGAGGGGGAGGGGGTCATTTGATCAAGTTTGCACCAAAAAAGAAAAGGAAAAATATGAAGGGTGACTGATCAATCAATCAGATTTTCTTAATGCAACTTTTGGAAGCTAACAGATGAAGAACTTATAACCCAAGGGGAAAATAAATAACCGGGCGCAGATTAGGATGAGAATGTGCTCTTTTCAAAGTTCTAATGATGATGAAGTTGAAGAAGCGCAGATGATTTGATCTAGGTTATTGTCACTTTTAAGTAATTTCTTCATCTCACAGTTCATAGATGGAGGAAATGAAAGCAGCGGACAATGGTGCACGGTAAAGATATTTGAGCAGTAAGCAGAGCTGATGAATTTTTCCTAGGTTTTGGAATTAGTTATGGGCTACAAACAGGCACAATGTCAGCAAGATTTAACATGTAATCATGTCCAAAGCATTTTTCCATCATGACGCGATGCACAAGCCTCGAGTTGTTTTGAGACGTAGTCCTCACCATGAACCCAAAAAAAGGTCAAAAAATTACAAAACAACCTCCAAAAAAATTAACCAATCTTCATGAAAACCCTTTGACAGGAACCCATTTTTACATCTTCATATCCCCTAGTAGAAACTGGAAGCACCTCGTATTGCTATAGAAGAGTTTTTTGTTCGGTCCTATCATACTCAATGGTGAGTAGCCAACTATTTTTTATGTCTACAATACTCTACGTTGAGTTCTTAAAACAAGAAAAGGCTAAAAAGCTCAAGAATATTTTCTAAATAACTTGAATATATTGAATATAAGTTGTGATTACAAGCAAGTTCAACCTCCTCTTACATAGACATTAGAAGAAGACGTAATCTACTAATTCTAGTAGATTATGTAAAAGAATTAATCACAGAATAAGAAAACTAATAATTCACTCCACATAGAAGTAGAATTAACAAAACTAGTATATTTTATAAATACTAGGAATCATAATAACTAATAATAATTAAATCCTAAACCAATAGTAATAAGTGATATTGAGTAGAATTGTCCTGCATTTTTGGTTATAGTTTTACCATTCCAACATGTTTGTGAGGTCTTTACCTTTTAGACAAAAGGCACCATTTTCCCTTGAGAGGAAATAGTGTGACAATAAATAAGATTGGATAATTTTACCACTAGATCAATATTAGGATTAGATTCAATATATTACTTGTCTACTTGACCAAAGGCATTAGGTTACCATTATAATAATGAATCTAGTAACCCTAAGGAGTAGCTTAGTGGTTAGACCTTGGATCTGCTCCCCAATGTTCACTAATTCGAGTCCGCTTAAGGTCACTGAGGTGAATACCTGACTGTAAACTTCAGGGCCCCGTGGAATTGGTCAAGGTGTGCGTAAACTAGCTCGAATACCCACGATAATAAAAATAAAAATAATAATAATAATGAATCCAGTATATATGTTCCTAGGAAAATAACCTTGTCCATTTTTTCGAGTCTCAAAGGGCATTGAAACACATAAAAATTCTTTAACAAAATTGAAAATGAGATAATTTCACTTAAACCTTTTGCTTTATACTATTTCAACGTGTGTTAATAAAAAGTTAGACACTGAACATATTTAGTATGGTATGATTTTAACCCTTTAATTAAATTAAATTTACTTACTATATTGGAGATTTTAGTTTTTATAAATATTTATTGTGTATAAATATATATTATTATATAATTATATATATTAAGTGTTTTAGTAGGAGAATAAGTCTATGCCAACTCAAATTAAAACTATATCCCAACCCAAATCATCCCAATTATTTCTCCCCCATTTTCTCTCTATATACATATCTTTTTCCCTTCTTTCTTTTATGCTTCATAATTCTCCATATTTTTTAGAAGGAAAGAAAATTATTTTAAAAGTTTTGGAATATTTCAAGAGGCACAAAAATTTACAATTTTGTGAGCATCAAATCAAAATTTTCAAAGGTTTAAGGTAGGATGAATAGGGTGCAAGTAGATTGTCCCATTTAATTTTATTATTTCATGTTGATAAATATTATGCTAACGAATTGATATGATTGGATATGTTATGATACATGATAATGGGCATTCAGTACAAATGATATGATATGTTAGGAGCTCTTCTCAAATTCTAAAGTTATGATATGACAAAATAATTATTTAAATTCATGAATTGGTACTTTTATTTGGAATTGCACATATACTCGTGTCACACTGAGTAGTTCCTTATATTCACCCCTTTTTCCCCTACTTTTCACAGATTAGAATGGATTGTTGGTTGGCAAGCAATGAAGTGCTATCGTTGTGCCAGGGTTCATTGGACTTAATAAAGTAATTTCGATGTAATGTGGCTGAAATTTTAAATTCCAACAATAACTTTAGTTTTATTAATTTATTTATCTCTTTCCCTTTATTTGAATTCGAAACATGGAACTACATTGTTTGTCACGGTAAATATGTGAAATCAATATTTTATGATATATTTATTATCTATCATGTAAAATAAAACGTGTAAATTAAATGAATTAGCTTTTAGTGGAATATATTTAAGAAAATTGTTCACTACATTCGCATTTAGTGAGACATATATATTACACATGAATTATTTTCAGACATAACCATTTGTTTGTTTGACGATGTCCCTAGTAATAATATAGGGAGTAACTTTGCGAAATTGCTTGGAAAATATGTGTGTGTATATAATATGATAGAAAATCAATAAATTGTTGTGTGGATATTTCACGTGATAGTTTAAAAATAGCTATAATCCATCAGAAGGAAATGCTCCAATTTGTGAAATAAAATATTGATTATGTTTCTTGGGTCAAATGACTAATTTTGCACTTTAATTTCATGCAGCACTGTTTGATATATTTAAGGATGCCTTGAACTGGATTGTTATATTTAATTAGATGACGACAAAGTTAGCAACCCATATTCATTAATATTTTTGCTTGTCAGTATTAAATTTATGATTTTTAAAGCGCCGTGTAATTACGTCCCTAATCATTAACTTTTAGATTGATTTTCATATGATCTTTTCAAACATTTATAGACAAGGTAAGGTATCTAATTTAATATAAATAAAAAATTAATATTTGGTATAAAAAGAATATTATAGATTAACCTTGAGTAAACCATCTTTACATAAATCTATAAGAAATTATTTGTCATGTTAAATTTTTATGAAACTTTTTGTAGCAATTTAAAATTTTTAATTTGGGACATTACAATTAAAGAGGAAAATCATGTCATACAAATTGCTAATTATAATGTCCAATTTTTCATGATCATTATGTACCAAACATTCAATGTTATCTTTATCTCCACATCCTTGATTCTTTTAAAATGATTTAGTAATGTGAATTGAGTGATATTAAAAGATTTTATTGTATAGAATCTCAATAAAATCTTTTTCAAATGAAATCAGAATTTCATTAATACAAAAGAATTTTGGAGCTAATTGTTAGGCAAAGCCAAGAGGTGAGTAGTTTTTTCAAATTTTCAATATTCTCCACATTTGTCTTGCAATGACCATACTCAAGAGATCTAAGCCCTTGCTTTATTCCTATTATTCAAAAAAATCATTTTTTCAAAATTCATTTTCAATCACACATTCTTCAATAAAATAATATTACATGAAAATGCAAAAATTTTTTAAAATTTTTAACCACACATTCTCCATCAATCTGCTATTCAAAATGCATTATTTCCCCCAAAATAGGGATCAAGCAAGGGCTAAGTATTCAAGTTTTTCCTCCATGCAATCTTCTTGATAAAAAAGTTCTAGGCAAAAAAAAAACTATTTACTCGTATATATATGATCATGATTGTTCAGTATTCTAACAATGGGCAACATAGGAAAAAAATCAATTTCCACGTTTTGTGATTGCCACCACCTAGGCAATTTGAAGGTTTTGTAAAAAACTATGTTTCCACAAACAATTTTCCTCTCTTTTTTTTATCATAATTTGTTCAAAAACCTTATAAATGTAAAATTCTTATGAGAACCCAATCATATTAAAGGAAGTTTTGAAAATGAACTCATTGTTCATAACCGAAGGAAATGAAAGCACTAGTACGCAGTGCAGGGTACAAGGTGCAAGGATGTGATAATTAAACAATAAGAGTAACAAGAACCGAGTGGTATTAGAAGATTCGGAATCTCCACTTTCTCAAGTCTTTAAAAACTAATGATTCAAAAAATCGAATAACATGAACCATGTGGTGTTAAAAGATTTGATTGTATAGAATCTTCTGCAAATGAAATTACAAGTCAAATGCACCTTTAATATAAGGAATTGTGTAGCTAGCTGTAGGGTAAAAAGGAGAGTTATTTTCAAGGTACTAGCAGTTGTTTCGAGCTGTTATTTCCCTCCCAATGGCAAGGTCTTACGCGTTACTCACCCATCAGCTAGACAGTCGTTCCTCGATTTTGCTGAGGACTTGCGTCAATGTTTGGATTCTCTGTAGGGGCGAAAATGAGGTAAACACAGTGTTGTTGCTTTCCTCCGATTTGACTATTATTGTTAAAGAGCATGTACGGTGTCGAGGGTTTGAATCCCTCTTCACGCACAACCGGCCCAAAAGGAAAGTATCTTTTCCTTTAGGAGTAAGAAAATCATGATCAGGATAACGGACCAATGGCCCTCGAGTGCAAAGGTAAAAGGAAGCTTGACTTCAAGATCCATTGTCAAGCAGGGATGAAAGACAGCCTCAGTGATCCGACCGTGCCAAGGAAAAAGGGCGTCGCTCAACGGATAAAAGTTAGTCTAAAGATAACAAGATAATCTTTCCCAAATCTCACATTGATGGGAAGGTTGGCGCCTCAATGTCGGCTCTTCACCACCTGTATTATGTTCCAAAGGTTGGGCTTGTAAATAGAAATGGTTGTCATTCCATGGCCATACTTCGGAATTCTAAGTATTCAAGTTATTCCCCCATGCAATCTTCTTCTTATAGGATCAGGCAAAAAAAAATTAAATAAAATAAAAAGAAAAAGAAAGAAAAACTATTTAGTTGCATATATGTTATCCTGATTGTTCAGTATTCTAACTCTGGTCAAGGGAAAAAAATTTCCATTTCCATGATTCTGCTATTAGCATCAGCTAGGCAATTTAAAGGCTTGGTACAAACTATATTTCCACAAGACAATTATCAATTCGTTGGAAAAAAAACTATATCCCCACAAGACAACTATCTGCCCTCTTTCCAATATAAAATTTTGTCAGTTTGTTCAAAAACTTGATAAATGTAAACTTATTCAGGCTACTTTGCCAGATTGACAAACAAAAAGCAAAAGGAGAGAGAATATATACTCAAACCTAATAAGCCAAGCAATTTGGTTCAAGGTGTAAATTTCCGATTCATCGATTATCTCAATCCAGCTCCACACCGGCAACCCCTAATTTGAAACAAAAAGAAAGGAAAGGAAAGGAAAAGAAAAGAAAGGAAAAGAAAAATCAGTCAGATTTTCTTAATTTAACTTTTGAAAGCTAAAAAATAATTAAAATCATAATCCAAAAAATGAAAAGCCTGTCCAAAAAAATCGAGGGTTTTGGGGGGGCAAAAAACAAAAACTGCGTAGTAAACTACGAATGAGAATGCGTACTTCCATGGGTCTTATGATGATGATGAAGTTCAAGAAAAAAAGGATTACCTGATCTGCATTTTACGAACGGAGGAACTAAGAGAGGCGGACGGCTGATGGCGGAGATAACTGAGTAGAAAGCTTCACTCATGGAATTGTTATTGGAATTATTGTGCTTTGCTAGCTAAGTGTTACGCCCAATTGACACAACGCAAAGTGACATTCTACCATTGGTCCCAATTGAAAAAATGTCAGAGTACTTGAATGTGCAAGTAGAATAATCTTTTATTACTTATCCAATGTTTGACCTCCATTTTTATAAAACTCATTTTCTATCGCATTTTTCTATCAAATAATTTTATACGTAAATAATTTTTATTTTCATTTTTGAACAAATATTTTTTCAAAAAATTACTATTTCAAAATATATTTTTCTACCTCATTTTTGTATAAAATAATTTTATACGAAAATAATTTTTTTTTATTTTTTAACAACACATTTTTTCAAAAAATTACTATTTCAAAATATATTTTTCTTAAAAAAGCGCTCAAACAAGCGATTTTGGAATTGAAGTATGGGCTATGACCCGGCCCAATAGTTTTTAAGCCCATTAGCTGACTATTACTCAGTATTGATTGTGCCAAATTGAAAGGATAATAATAGATCATAGTGACTTACAAGGTAATATATCTATCTAATCTAACTACATATAAAAGAGGCAGTGGATGTGTTACTGTTCACAAGCCATTTTCTTGGTCGACTCAATCAATTTGAATGGAGCGGAGCCGTGTTAGCTGAGCCGCTGCTTGGAAGTGCGTGGCTTTCACCATTGCATCCCTATTTCCCTATCACTAGCTCCTATCCCTCTGAGTACTAACACACGCAACCATATCTTTATTCTCTTTTCAGAACCTCTCATCTCTCTTCACTCGGTACCATTTTCCAGACAACTATCCATACCATACTCGTCCTTTCTTCTTCTCTTTTTCCATTTTCTTTCTCCCAAGATTCTCTCTATGAGCTGCGTAATTTTGTCGGACCTTTCTGATGTCAATTCGAGCCTCCATGAGAAGCTATTCTTGAAGAATGATTGAAAGAGATAAATTGTGGGTTTCATTCGTAAACCCTTCTATTTTTTCGGGTTCCATCTCTTTTGCTTAAAACTCCATACATCTAAGCTTTGATAGTGACATTTATGATTCTAGGTTTCTTTACTTATGTTTCTCTCATTTTTCTATACGTGTTTGTTTGTTTGGATTTTCTTTTTTGGTAATTTATTTTTTTGATTGTGTCTCTGTACTGCAATTTAAGTTTTCCTGTTCATTATTCTGTATCTATATTTTTATCTGGGTTTTTATTTTTTATTTTTTTTGTTATCTTTCATTAGTTTCATTAGAAATTGATTTAAATATGAGGGGTTGATGTATTTTATTATTTTTGTATCTTAAATTACCCATTCATTTTTTTTTCCACAGTTTATGTAAAATTAATTTCCGTTTCATGATGAAAAATCTTTCATTTTTTGAATAAGTTCCCAATGCCAATTTAGCGTTCCGAAGGCTGCTCCATTTACTGCAGTTCTCAAATTTGCCGCTGAGGAATTCAAAGTTCCACCTCGAACCAGCGCTATTATCACCAACGGCACACACACACACACATATATAGTTTTTTTCTGAAATTTCTGATTGGATTTCGAAATTGAATCTCTTTTCGGCGTAGGGAGGATTTTACTAATCCAATTATTTTAATTTTGTGAAGATTGCTGCTTTTGGCTGTTTAATGATTTTTGGCAATTTTTTGGTTGAATTATTTGCAGATGGTGTCGGAATTAATTCTCAACAAAGTGCAGGTACTTCAGAAATTTCATTTATCCTTTAAATTTGTTGAAATTCAGTTTTATCGTTATTTTGAGTCTTTGACAATTTGTTTCTTTGAGATCAAGATGCAGCATTGGATGATTAGAGATTTGATATTACATTTTTGGCTGATGATGAGATATTACATTGTCGTTTATTTTATTTCCTTATTATTTATGTGCACTTTGGTTACGCAATATTGTATGAAACTAGACTAGAGTTTAACTTCTTCTTTTTCCTTCCTCAATACTCCCTATTGTTGTCAATCCATCTTACTAAATATGCCATAATTGTATAATGTATTGTTTAAGTACTTTTCCTTTCTTTCTACAAATTTGACTTAGCTTTGACAAGTGTGCTTGTTCAGAGGCTTATAACCTTTACTCCTTTTTTCTTCTCTCTTGTTTTATTTTTCTATAAGAATCACAAAGGTCAAAATGTGATATGTTCTCTTTTTGTAGTGGGAGAATTAGGTTGGGATAACGAATAACATTTGGATTTGGAAACTTTGGAAGGGAGTTAGGAGGTTTCTTACATGTTTAGAATGGATCATATTTTGCTCCATATTCTCCACCGCCATTGTGATTTTCTTTTCCCTCCTAGATCCCATTTCTCTATGATGGAAAGTTGGCTCCTTTTTTCTTCTACCTTTTTTTTTAAAAAAAGTTAATAGCTTCCCAAAAAGAGGAATTGACAATGTTTAGAATGAGTTCCATGCCCGCCATTCCTAACGAAAGCAGGAATGGAGTAAGGGTTGGACCTTTGAATGTAACGAGATCTCTCCCCGGGGGTTCTTATTGTTTTTGTGTTGCTCAATTTGAATTCTTCTAGGCTTTACTTTTTATGCTCATTTTCTTATGAGTTTTTAAATTCCAATTCTGTGATTAGTCTCAAATCAAAGCACTGCTATAAGGATTAATTATGTTGTAATTATTGCATTGTTCAGATTTAATGCTCTTCCTTTCAAGTTCGCTGCTAACTTAATAATACTTTGATTACAGTGCTTCACAAGGGAAACATTCTGAAACCTTGTTGCAAGTTGGGATTGAATTGATTGTTACAAAATCTCAGGCACTTTCTACAGAGGAAGAAGGTAGGAATTTCCTGGTATTGAGTTTGCAGAATTTCTTTCTAAGAGCGATCCTAATTTTTTTCAGTTTAGGAATTTCAATACACAGAACGACAATAGAACAATAATCTAGCTCAAATGGGAAGTGATATGGAGAGAGATGATGAAGAAGAAGCATCGGTGGGCGAAATCTTGCGAGATCGTTTCTGACTCAGCACAATCTCCATTGCAAAAGCCAAAGGGAAGAAAAATGGCATGTAAATTTCTTAACCTACTATGGCCTGTCTCTCGGATTTAGCCTTCAAATGTGCCCAGCAATTAGCTAAGGATCTCGAATTATTCGCTCAGCATACTGATCGCAAGTCTGTGAATATGGAAGATGTCATACTTTCTGGTGAGATATAACTCTTGCCATGGCATTTGAAGGATCCATGGCTTTGAAATTATAAAATTTAACAACCCGATTGTCCTAGCTTGTCTGACCAGACCTCCATCCTATTGTGTTTATCAATTGAATATGCATTACAATCATTTACTAAGTTGCCTATATAGATGAGCTGTTGGTATTTAAGCTTTTATTAGTTATTTCATAGATTTTGAAACATGATGTTCTACTACCATAACTTTAAATTTGGCATACTGCTTTTCCATCTGATTTGTCCATCTGTTGCATTGGTTAATATGACATATTATTGCCATAGTTGATGAGAATCTTATACAGCCTTCTTATATGATTTTCCATGGTGTTGAAGGACTTCACCTCCATGGTAATAGGGAAAAATTGATTTAGAGCTCATGTACTGGTATGTAGATTAACATCTTTTTGTACTTTTGTGTTCTATTATCTATAATCAAGCCTGCATGTCTTTCTACAATGGAGTGCTTTTTGTACAGAGTTGGTTTTATAATTGTCATAAGTTTAGAGAAATATTGAATTGATGAACAGGTATACTGTCATTTCACATGGTTTTCCTTTGTGGAATACAAGCTACATAGTGTTGTGCAAATCATTTTTTGTTCAGCTCATATGGTTCATATATTAGAGTCTTCAAGACTCTTAGCATAGGAAAGATATGTTACTTGTTAGTCGAGACAAAGTCATAAATTTATCGAAATGAACTTTTCAATATAAAGCGATCCACAAGCGATTTACCTTGTTGAGAATCACCAATTGTTCTTAGACCTTGGATAAGCATTCTCTATGAGCTGATAACATTGCAACAAATAAATAGTCATTTTTGTTTTTAATTTAATTGTCATTACTTGATAAGCTATACACAAACATGTTCTTGATGATACTGAATTTTCAGTCGCTGTAGGGTATTACGTGGCTCGAATGGATGATTATTAACTTAATTGCTTGGTAATGACAATAGAGTAGAATCCCATGAAGCAGACAAAACTAACTAGCCATTTGTAAGTATAAATACATTGGTTTTAGTTAGCTAAAGAATTTATATTCTTAAACATGGGACTATCATGCTATGTCGTTCTCACTCTACAGTGCAAAGAACAACTAGACGTTAGCTGCTACTGGCCAACTACATATTGCCGAGGATGACAGAAAATAGAAAATACGCCACATAAAGAAAAATAAGCATATCTGTTAAGAGCGCCTTCCAAGTTTGTTTTCTAAAACTATTGAGGATTATTATGAGCAAGCATATAATAATACACAAAAAGAACTATAAATAATTTTCATAAATTATATCTAATGAAATAAATTCGTTTTTTATTTTTCTTTAGATTGTTTAAATGCTTTTGCTTCATTTGTTTTTAATTTTATTTTTTTTCAATTATAATTTAAATGCTTCTCTTCATTTTTATTGAAATCTATTTTTTCCCCCAATTCTACAGAAAACATTGTTGTACACTTGTACTTAGTACTCTTTGTTTTAATGAAGACTGTAACAATTGGACCAAGTGAGTTTATGTGCCATATTTCTTTCATCCAAATTCAATTTATAAATATCTTCTGGTTATCTTTTTTTCTAATGGACATGTTTTTGTGCCTTTTAGGTTCTACTGTGGTTCCAATGATAGATAGTCATTCTTCGACATGTAACCATGGGCTTGATGCTCATTCAGAGCAAATGGTGTCCATGTCTACCGGAAATGAAGGCTTGTTTTCGATACCAAACAAATCACATATGTTATCTTGCCTTGTGTAATGTGAATTTTGTGGAGCTCTGAAATTATTGTTGTGATGGAGCTGTTAAATTGAAAGTAAATGATCCGCTGGCTGAATTATATCATTTATTTAAATCAAATTGTGCTGAATCCATTGAATTTAAAACTTACGTACGAACTTACAATAGCAATTTCTCATTCACTTACACTACATTACCTACTACACGTGCAACGCACGTGCCTACACTAGTTGTTTCTTAAATTTACCAACAGTAAGGCTGCTTAGTTCGATAATGGTCTATTTCTTTCCATTCACCGTCCGATCACGCATTTGAATATTTTGGTTAAAAAAAGAACTATGCTTAAGAGTTAAATTTGGATATGAAGCTCTTCATTTATTTCTCAATATTGATGAAAGACATGTTCGTGATTTTATTATCATAGGTGGCAAAGTTAATAGGATCCTATTTTTATGTCCCAGTGTCCCGTATTATGGTGACACGAAGGTAAAATCTATATTGACAAAAATGAATTCTTTCCGTAAGTATGTCATTCTCTATAGTGAGAAAAATGACATTTTTGGAGTTGAAAGTGCTATATTGAGATCTTGTCAATTTATGAATTATCTTCAATGCGAAGACAATCTACTTCTTAGCCTTTTTACAAAAAGTCTATATTCACTTCTTCATACTTGGCTGATGAGTTAACTATTGGAGCGCTTATTTAAAGGAGAGTTTTGGCTGATCGGGTAAAACGGTAAATCTAATATCACCATTTCCACAAGTTTTTCAATCTTCGAGATCCCGAGGATCAACTTTTTAGTCGAAAGGCAATCATTTTTTTTAAGAGAGAGTGTGCACATATGAAAGACAAAGTAGAAAGGAAAAGATTGATAAAAACAAAAATCTTTCATGTCCACTCCAAGCGACACTTTCCGCAAAATTCCGATAATTTTCCATTACTCCAACTCAAGTACAGTTAAAGTTGTATTTAACATTTGAAATAGAAAGAAAAATCTGGGAAATGCCTCATTAATTAATGACTTCAAATAAAGGATTTGTCTAAAACATCATAATAAAAATGGATTATTCTTGTTGTACATTGGTGTGTACATAATTGTGTACATAAGGGTGTCCATAATAGACACCCGGCGTCCCCCTATTGGAGGGGGTGTCGGTGGTCCAGGCGCCCCCTTCAATAGGGAGGCGTCGAGTGTCCATTATGGACACGCCAATGTACATGTAGCAAAGTCCAATAAAAATAGAGATAATGCGTCAACAAACAAATTCGACAAGTTGTTGAAGCATTCCAAGAAAATATCTATAATATATCAAGAAATTGATTCATAAAATTTATTCAACAACAACAACAATACTTTAGACATGTTAACATACACTAAATGAAGAGTACTCAAACAGAATCCTTTGGTTGCTTGTCCTGTCCTGTGACCAATATGGGCGAAAAAACTTGCTTCAAAACTCCTGTAATGAATCCCTTCCAAGCAGGTCAAATACCTCTCATGTTTGAGGCTTTATAATGCTTCTTAAATGCTTCTAATTGACTGTCAAAGGTCTACACAAATACACATGAATGTATCAAAATATATCAACAACAATGTTGATTTTTTATTTATTTATTTATTTATTATTATTACTATTTTACATGACTAGATTTTAATATTTCACACGGAGGACGATGAGATTTTCAGTTAACATTGCAAATGAAAATAATTATTCGTAAAGCAGAAACACAGAGCCAAAACATAGCATTTCTGAGCATGAAATTTCAGATAAGCGAGAGCCAAAACCAAATAAACTAGATACTGCCATAAAAGCTAAGCAAGATATAATAAACAAATACATGCATGACCATCCTAATTAAGCTTAATCACCAAGTCACGCCACCACTCATCTCAGGAACATGCAAAATCTCCATTTCATTCATTTTATTCTTATATATTTGAAAGCAACTCATAATGTCAACTGCCAATCCTATGCAGATCTGCAAATTCTATACAATTTTTGTGCAAGTTTCATCCATTCGGAGTTGCTTCAAAGCTTATTAAAACTTTCATTCGGCCAAACTATATATTGACATGTATACATACTTGGCAGAGAAAATCCCATGAGGTGAAAAGCTCACTTTTACCACACAAATCCAGGAATCTCTGTTCTTACCCAAGATAAAACTGTTTTGAGGCCCACACTAGTACACTGGTTATCTCTCAGCTGCTTCCAGATACTCCCCTCTAACTCTCTAATCTGAATTCAACTTGTGTAACATCACGATATACAGTGTACAGGGAAAGAGAGAGATTAGAAGCGGATGGGGAAAAGGAAGAACAAAGGAGAATAATTAGCTAGTAAGAAAATTTTCCATATACATGTAATAGTGATAAGTATCATCTGTTGCCCATAAATAGATTTAAGAAACTTAAATTCAAGGAAACTTTCACATCACAAGCTTAACAAACTACGGAAGACTATCTAATCTTGTCCAAATAAAATCCCAAACTAAAACAAAATAAAATTGAAAAATTTTATATTATTTTCAATGTTAGAAACGAAACTTTTAGGTTTCCATCACATCAACCAAGTTAACTGATTATTAGAGTACAACCGATACAAGAAAAATTAGTTTGTATAAAGATTTCTTTCAGTACAGAACTCTAAACATCTACATATGCATTTTTAAGAGGCTCAATTGGAAAAAATTCATCGACTCAGTGCACCAGACAACAAATTAGACGGAAGTATCACATATGAACTTAATCCAGACTGCTAGAAGAGGTGAAATACTAGCAGAATGTAGCATAGCATATCTTAATTCACCCTTTGTTGAACAAGAACATGGATAATATCAAAAATGAAAAAAAATACTGATTATGTACTTACCAATTAAGGAAGGCCAAAGACCAGGACCAAATCAAATGTTGTAAAATTTTCAGGGACATAACTTTGAGCTTTTAATACATAGTGTCATCACAATGATTTTGGCTCTCAATCCAAATATATTCAGCTCATCACATTGATTTCGACTATTCAGGCTACCATTCGCAAAAATACATTGGTATCTGCCACCTTCATTCCTCCATATATTGTTCACCCACTGCAAATCACAGCCAATAATTAATCTCTTGTAAATATCAAAAAACCAAATGATACTAGTCGGAATAGATTAAACAGGGGAGATTGATATTTTTCCATGGAGATTTTAATTTAAACAATTTCAATTTCAGATCTCAAACCAATGACCCGAGTGTTGATTCTGCATTAATTAAGTTCACAAAAATACTTTATTTTCACCGATCAAATGTTTGTGGACATAGCATGTTTGGGAAGTGAATATAGTTTATTCATTTCTGGTCAAACATAAATTTTATCCCCACACAATTACTACCCACTTACCATCCACACATTCCGCAGGACCTGCATCTTATAATTACATATCAAACAGGCACTAGAACTAATCAATTGTCAACACTCTGCATTATATCAAAACTGTAATAAATGAGTAACATTAAATATAATGGGGGCATTAATTTATTGGCTTCAAAGTTATGAAAGCATTTGCAATCACCCATCTGGCTTTACAATTTCATCTATAGTATATAAATAAATTATCAGTATAAGGAAGATTAAATGATTAATTTTAACAGTCCAAATGTGTATACACACATATGGTCATTGTAAGATTCATTTTATAAAGCTTTCCTCCGCAACAAAGCCCTTACTTCGACCTTGGTTGAATGAATACCAAACATGTAAAATGCTGTTTTGCAGTTATAATAAGTTAAAAATAGACAGTAGCTTTATTGAATAAACATAAGAACACAGAGAGAAATGAATATTGTTTGCAAAAGGTACATACCAATGGAAGTGGGCCATATTCCAGGATCCAGTCAAATGCTTCAAAATTCTGATTTTGACCATTAATTCAATGTGTCTTTGAGCTATTAATTCATGGTGTCATCACACTAATTACTACTTCCAATATAAATATATGCAGTCCCATCACATTGATTGGTTCCAACTTCAGTCCACATGTTTCCATGAAACGCTGATGACCTTGTGGTTTTTCAACCTCAGCGAATGACTGCCCATAAATCAAAAGACAATTGTCAGCACTTATTAAACAAGAGACATTGATCTTTTCTTCCATGGTGTTGGATAAAAAACTCATTTTCAAATCTCAGTTTGTCATTCATTCAATCCTGTCACATGGGCAGCAAAGGCATAGGCCCGGGTATAATTTCAGCATTAATTCAATTTTACATCTAACGATTTATTTTAATTAGTAGATCAATTATAGAAGGTTTCTAATCATTTGACTATTTCACACTGTAAGAACTAATTGAAAATATTCAATGGTGTGAAAAAATATTAAAACTGTAATGAATGAGATACATTAAATATAATGGTGGCATTTAATTTACTGGCATCAAATTTAGCATTTGTGGTCACCCCTCCGGCTTTACAACTGGCCCTAAAAGTTCATCCATTCTATATAACTTAATCAAAAGCGCAAGGAATATATATTGTAATAATTCACGTACGGATATGGTCAAACCAATGAAATTGCATGTAATATCTTCCTAACAAC